CTCACAACCCCTAATCCAGCCCTGCATACACGGTGAGGGATATGTACCATACAGACGCACAGCTATATTGGTCTTGGTGTAGTCCGTGTGCTGTGGTTCTACCATCTTGACGCACGACCTTTCCCTTATCAAACATGACCGCGTGCAAGTTGTTTGTGTGTTGTGCATTTTGGTTTGCCGTCGTGAGCCTGCAGCTGAACATGGTGTAACCAGGTCCCCATCGAAACTGAGCAGGTATTGTCCCAGTGGGTTTTACCTGTGCCAAAACAAAACCAAATATACTGCGCAGGGGGCGTGTGTATGAAGATATTTGCTTGTCGACGTTTCGGCCCACTCGCCTTCCACAGGAGACTTACTTCATTGCGCTGAACCTGTTATTCGTTTCGTAAAGTTCACTCCTGTGCATGGAGCGTGAGGAGCGGTGGTGTGGCGAGTTGGGTTCCAGCCCACGGGCCGCCTTTGTCTCCCGCTCGGGAGACAAAAGCGGCCGGGCGTGGTGCTGGTCACCCACTCCCTCGTGTGCCGTGTCGGCCTTCATAGGTACTCGTGAACAGCACTTGCCCGACAAGTCTATGAAGGCTATACGGGGGATCTTTGTCTCTGTATGGGGCGTGAAGCGGATACGAGCGATGGTGCGCGCAGGCAATCATGTCCGACGCTTCGCTGCGTCATTCACGTACATAACTAAATAATCCGCTATACATAATTGCGTTAATTCCACAGCAAAATAAAGTAATTAACTGCAGATTTTAACCATTCACCGCAGCGTAATTTAATTCCCGACACCATTACACCACCAGCGACAGGTTATCAAATAAACCACTGCAGAACAATGTACGGTCACAACATCCAATTGCTCTCCGTACAGGTTTCCCTCGTTTTATGCGGGTTCGGTATGTGCGACCTCGCTTATATGCGGCTAACCGATCTCTCTATATATACATTTTTTTAAATCGCCCAATTGGGTTTCAATTCACTGAGGTGCGACAACATTGTTTGTGCACTACTCGGCAGGCAGGCAGCTGTCTCCATGTGCGGCTTCGCTTTGTGCGCCCCCTTTTTTTGGAACGCATCTACTACCCCTACCATAACGGCCGCATAAAGCGAGGGAAACTTGCGTAGCTCAAGACTTTCTACCAACATCACCCAATTGGGAATCGTCTTCACAAACACGGTAATTTGCATTTCGCCACAATCGAAACAAAACACCGCATACATTGGTCGTGAGAGTTCCAAACATCACGTGTGGCCAACTATGAATCTCTGTATTCGTGGGCCGATCTCTTGCTTTATCTCTTCTCTCTCTCTGCGCCGTACACGTATTCGTCTTTTAGTTTTGTTTTATTTTGCTAAGTAGTGGGGTGTATCGCCAGATACCAGCTGTGCTCCCGACTGCGCTCAACTCGCTGTGTTTTAGCCCCGGCCGTACGTTCGATGTTACAGAAAGCGATAGTGCAGCACGCCATAATACAGCACGCCATAATACACGATATAGTGCAGCATGCTATAGTATAGCACGCCATAATACACGATATAGTGCAGCATGCTATAGTGCAGCACGCTATAGTACATTATATAGTGCAGCATGCTATAGTACAGCACGCCATAATACACGATATAGTGCAGCACGCCATAATACACGCTATAGTGCAGCACGCTATAGTACAGCACGCCATAATACACGATATAGTGCAGCACGCGATAATACAGCATGCTATAATACAGACCACTATAATACAGCACGCTGTAATACAGAACACTATAGTACAGCACGCTGTAATACAGAACACTATAGTACAGCACGCTGTAATACAGAACACTATAGTACAGCACGCTGTAATGAAGAACACTATAGTACAGCACGCTGTAATACAGAACACTATAGTACAGCACGCTGTAATACAGGACACTGTAGTACAGCACGCTGTAATACACACCACTATAGTACAGTACGCTGTAATACACACCACTATAGTACAGCACGCTGTAATACACACCACTATAGTACAGCACGCTGTAATACACACCACTATAGTACAGCACGCTGTAATACACACCACTATAGTACAGCACGCTGTAATACACACCACTATAGTACAGCACGCTGTAATACACAACACTATAGTACAGCACGCTGCAATGAAGAACACTATAGTACATCACGCTGTAATACAGAACACTATAGTACAGCACGCTGTAATACAGAACACTATAGTACAGCACGCTGCAATGAAGAACACTATAGTACAGCACGCTGTAATGCAGGACACTAAAGTACAGCACGCTGTAATACAGAACACTATAGTACAGCACGCTGCAATGAAGAACACTATAGTACAGCATGCTGTAATACAGAACACTATAGTACAGCACGCTGTAATACAGAACACTGTAGTACAGCACGCTGTAATGAAGAACACTATAGTACAGCACGCTGTAATACAGTACACTATAGTACAGCACGCTGTAATACACAACACTATAGTACAGCACGCTGTAATGAAGAACACTATAGTACAGCACGCTGTAATACAGAACACTCTAGTACAGCACGCTGTAATACAGAACACTCTAGTACAGCACGCTGTAATGAAGTACACTATAGTACAGCACGCTGTAATACAGAACACTCTAGTACAGCACGCTGTAATGAAGTACACTATAGTACAGCACGCTGTAATACAGAACACTATAGTACAGCACGCTGTAATGAAGAACACTATAGTACAGCACGCTGTAATACAGAACACTGTAGTACAGCACGCTGTAATGAAAAACACTATACTACAGCACGCTGTAATACAGAACACTATAGTACAGCACGCTGTAATACAAAACACTATAGTACAGAACGCTGTAATACAGAACACTATAGTACAGCATGCTGTAATGAAGTACACTATAGTACAGCACGCTGTAATACAGAACACTGTAGTACAGCACGCTGTAATACAGAACACTATAGTACAGCACGCTGTAATGCAGGACACTAAAGTACAGCATGCTGTAATGCAGGACACTATAATACAGCACGCTGTAATGCACAACACTCCATTATAGTCCAGCCTATGAGTGCCGTACACCAGCGATATGACTCACATTGAGAGAGTCACGCGAACGAATTCCGACCAAATGGTCACCCGTCAATTCTCAAGGCATTGCCACCACCACAGTTGTTTAATTTGCAATGCTGGCTGTCACGTCGATGGCTCGGCTCGCTATGTGCGTGCGCGTGTTGTGCGCCTGTTCACGCCGCGTGTGTTTGTGCGCAGTGGTAGCAGCGGCCACCACCAACACCAAGTGACGATCATCTGAACCGGTCCTGGGCCTCCCCTGGGTCGACTCAGCCTCAAATGAATTGCTGGTGCGTTGTGTGAACATCGCCACCAGGGAGACAAAGGCGGCCCGGCGTGGTGTTGGCCACCCACCCCCTCTGTGTGCCGTGCCGGCCTTTATAGGTGTTCGCTAACAGCACTTGCCCCAACAGTCTGTTCAGGCTATACGGGGGATCTTCGTCTTTGTTCGGACGTGTCACAACAGTTCACGAAATGACGCCGCAAAACCCGAGTCCGCTTTCCGACAGCGGCCAGACATCAGTGGCGAGGGCGATATTTAAACTGGCCCCGGGCCTCCTCTAGGTCTACTCAGCCTTGCATGAGTACCTCCTGCAGCATGTAAACACATCACCACTTGGGCAGTCAATGACGATCGGGCGTGGTGATTGCGCCTACCACCATCACCCTCGTGCGCCGTGCTGTCTTTAATAGCTGCTTCGCCGTGAGTGGGAATCGAACTCGGGTGGCCCCGGGATGGTAGCGAAGCGCACTGATCGTTGCACGACCGCTCCCCAGAGCCAAACATTCCGTGTAAAGCCACAACAGCAGATCGTTCTTTCTCACCCGATGACGGACGCTTGTGTGGCGACCGCAAACGTCGTGTTCTTTTTATTATTATATTCTACCTTACGTGACTTTACCGAAAGAAACACGAGAGTATGGATTCCTGCAGTGACAAAAGCTTCAAATCAAGATTCAACAGACAGTCGGGGCAAGTGCTTTTAGCGAGCACTCATGAAGGCCGGCACGACACACGACGGTGTGGGGTGACCAGCATCACGGAACGGCCGAACTTTGTCTCCCAAGTGGCGCGATGTTTTACACACACCCTGCACCAGGTACTCGTTTGAGGCTGAGTCGACCTATGGGAGGCCCAGCACCGGCTCAGATAATCGTCACTGGCGTAGGTCCCCAGAGACACACACACACACACCCGTGCAGGCTATATGTGTGTGTGTGCATGAGGCGACATGTTGCTGACGATGATGATGTTGGTATTATTATTCACGATATTAACACTGATATATAATCACAATCATGACCTTCGGGTCCGGAGGGGCATGTGGCTCTTGAAGGACTGCTTCGTGACGTTATTTATAAAGGACCCACCGTCTCGTAATCCACATTGCATTGCGGTTCTTGAACTATTGAGTTTGTTTCACTGAATTCGGAAGAAAAAATGTCTTATTGTTGTTATGTTGGTTTACCGAATCCCTGATCATGACAGTGGTGATGATAGCGATGACGATGATGCTGATAATGGTGTGGTGGTGATTTGATGACGGTGTGATTGATAAATGTTGACGGTTGTTTACCTTCACTTTCGTTGTAACGATGTCAGTGGTGACGATGTTGATGTTGTTAACGTTAAAGATCCCGTGACGTGATTCACAAGAGCAGGCCGTCGTGCGCCGGCGTCGTGGCCCAATTTTTATATTTTTTTAAATTCCTCGTAAATGACTCAAAATTGTAAAATATGATTTGGTGGTGCTGCGTTGAGAGTGTTGCACAAACACAAACAAACAACAACACAAATCCCACACATTCGTCAATAACACTCTGGTCTTGCTGTGAAAAACAAAACACACATAGCCACGCGCATCAGCGATGCTTTCCCGGCCAAGTAAACAAACGTCACAACAACACCAACAACAACAACACCAGTGTTGTTGTTGTTTTTGTGCTGCTCCCAATCCCCGCGATGGAACCGCGCCGCTCCGAGGTCACGTGGCGATGCGGCTGCCCGAAGACGTCACGTGGCTAAACAAGGGGGGGGGGGGGCGCCGCTCATTCCCAGGGACCGTTCAGATCGAGGATGTTTGCTGGGAGCAGCGGGGAAAAAAACGCGGAGGTGGGATGGACCCGGCGAGACGCACAGCCACCACCACCACCACCTCCTCCTCCTCCTCCGCTGCTGCTGCTGCCGCCACGCGAGCCATGGGAGAGCCTCACCTCCACGGGGAGCCCGACGGAGGCGCCTTCGCTCCCGCCCCGGTGCCGGACGCGTCGCGCACGCGGCCGCGTTGGCTCTGCGCGTGCCCCCCCCCCTGCTCGCGAGCACCCTGCGAGTGCCGGCCGCGCGGCGCGGGCGAAACTCCGTGCGGCGGCGGCGGCGGTGGCGGCGTCTCGTGTCGCGGGGGGCTGGCCGTGAGCCTCCAGCCCGGCAGCGGTAGCCCCCATTGGGGGGGCGGAGGAGGAGGAGGGGGGGGCGACGCGAACCGACCCACCGCGTCGCTGCTCGGAGAGGGAGATTCGTACGGAGGGGCGCTGTGCCCGGGATTCGCCGCGCCCTGCTTCGAGGCCGAGACGATGCTGGGCGGGGGCGGAGGTCAGGCGTGGGCAGTGAGCGGAGGCTGGGGGGGGGGGCCCCCCTCCGTGTTCTGCGCCATGGAGACCCCACATTATTATCATCAGCAGCAGCAGCATCAGCAGCAGCATCATCATCAGCAGCAGCAGCTCGGGCTCGTGTGGAAGGCGGGCGCGGCCGGTAAATGCGTTGTTGCTGTGATTATATTTGAGCGATGGCCGTGATGGTGCAACGCGTATCGGCTCGTTTGTTTCCTTCTCGATGAATGACAATGTGACAACAAAACAATAACAATGTCATTGCGTGTTCGCGGCACCGTTATCGTAGCCACTTACGGTGCATATGTGGGAATTAATTACGTATAATCGCGAACGGGCGGTCGACGTGCATTCCCATATTGGCAAAAAATTTTTTTTCAAAAAATATATAAACATGCTATCATCGCTCCACCAACAAGGTATCCCTCCACCTCGCGTGGAGTGTGACGTTAAAGCGGATAAAAGCGAGCCGATGCCCGCGGCTACCGGCGGCATAGGAGGAACGCGCGTGTCCGCGTGGCGACGCGTAGGCCGCCCGGCACCCCCGGGGCATCGTGAGTTCGGGGGGGCCACGCTCCCCTCGAGCCGGGGGATGCGCGGACACAGCGACAGCATGCGGTGCTGCTGCTGTTGCATGCGCGGATGCTGTTGCTGCTTGTGTTGCTGCTGCATGTACGGATGCTGCTGCTGATTTTCGTTCCGTTGCAGCTGCACGCGCGGCTGCTGCGTTCGCGGCTGCCATAGCCCGCGCTCCCCCCCCCCCGCCGCCCATAAAATCCGTGCACAGATTGAAACTCGCTGACGTCAGCAGGACGCGAGATCTCAGATGCGTCACGTGCTCGTCGCTCCAACGCGACACCCTAACGACAGTCGGATAGCCCCAGCGACAGTCCGATAACCCTAGCAACAGTCCGATAACCCTAGCAACAGTGCGATAACCCTAACAACAGTCCGATAACCCTAGCAACAGTGCAATAACCCTAGCAACAGTGCGATAACCCTAGCGACAGTCGATAACCCTAACAACAGTGCGATAACCCTAGCAACAGTGCGATAACCCTAGCGACAGCCCGATAATCCTAGCAACAGTCGATAACCCTAGCAACAGTCCGATAACCTTAGCGACAGTCCGATAATCCTAGCAACAGTCGATAACCCTAGCGACAGTCCGATAACCCTAGCAACAGTCCGATAACCCTAGCAACAGTGCGATAATCCTAACGACAGTCCAATAACCCTAGCAACAGTCCGATAACCCTAGCAACAGTGCGATAACCCTAGCAACAGTCGATAACTCTAGCAACAGTCCCATGACAATAACCCTAACAACGGTCCGCTAACCCTAGCAACAGTCCCATGACAATAACCCTAACAACAGTCCGCTAACCCTAGCAACAGTCCCATGCCAATAACCCTAACAACAGTCCGCTAACCCTAGCAACAGTCCCACCACGCTAACCCTAACAACAGTCCAATAACCCTAGCAACAGTCCCATGACGCTAACCCTAACAACAGTCCGATAACCCTAGCAACAGTCCGCTGACCCTAACTACAGTCCCATAACCCTAACAAAAGTCACATAAAGCTAACCCTAACACGTCTCATAATGCTAACCCTAACACGTCTCATAATGCTAACCCTAACAAGAGTCACATAAAGCTAACCCTAACAAAATTCCCGAAACGTAACACTAAAAACCGTCCCATAACGTTAATCCTAACAGCAGTCCGCTAACCCTAACAACAGTCCTATAACGTTGACCCTAACAACAGTCCTATAACGCTGACCCTAACCCTAACAACAGCCTCATAACGCTGACCCTAACCCTAACAACAGTCCCATAACGCTAACCCGAGCTCCTAACACAACAACAGGTCCTCACCACTAACATCAGGCCCTAACGATAACCCATATCGCTAGGCCCTAGCATTGTAACCCATAACCATGACCCCAACCCTAACACACGAACCCTAAAACTGAACCATAACCTAGACGATAGCCCTAGCAATCACCCCTAACCCTCACACTAACCTTATTATGTGCTACCCTAACACTAGACCCCATGACTAACCTCATCTCCAAGCCTAACCCTAACACTGACACGAATACCAACCTTATAATCCTATACCCTCACACAAGGCCCTAACCCTAACCCCTAACCAAGACCATAGCCCTGACACATACTCCGAACACAAACACCCAACCCTAACCCCATCCTTGTACCCCACCAGTACGCGACCCGAGTCGAACCCCCCCCTCCCCCCCGTGTCCTACAATCCCAAATGATCCCGCCCCCCACACCGCCGATTGCCCCCCAGTGTTTCCCATTGACCCTACCCCCACAGTGTCCCTCTCTCTGCCCGCTGTCCCCCCGGCGTATCCCATTGTCCCCCCCCCCGTACCTCTCTCGTCTCTAATTGTTCCATTACCTCGAGTATCCCACCTCTCCCATGGTCCCATTGTCTATCCCGTGCCCCCCCCACCCTACCGGTACCCCACCCTCTGTCCAATTGTCTCTCATTTCCCTCCCTGGGGGGGAGGGGGGGGGTCCCCGGAGGATCCCCGCCTTCTCTGCCCCGCCCCCCGTGTTTTCGATTGTCTCTCTACAATACCCCCGCTCCACAGCCTCCCCCCCACACCTTGTCTACAACGCAGAGAGTTGGCACAGTGGGCATAGCGCAGCTGGTGCACCTGCCAGTCATCTCGGTGACAGTGAACCCCATGACAAACTTTACGCAGGCCTCGGGTGGCACACAGCGGCGCGGTGACGTCAACGCTACTTCGTGATGAACGGCGGTTGTTGTTGTTGTTCCAGTTGTTTCATTTATTAGGTATAACCCTGTGAGCCGTGCGGCTCTTGACTCGGGTGCAACCGCAGCAAAACAAAAACATGAACAAGAAAACATCTATAAGTGACTACACGCAACAGAAAAAAATCCTGGAAAAAACAGCAAAGCCTTCCAGAAAAAACCACCGCATTTCAACGCTGTGTGCTGTTTTTGTTGTTATTGGTGTGGGTGACGTCATAACCCCCCCCCCCCCCCTTATCAACCTCACCCCCACCCCAGGTGAGGTATCACCCCCTCCCATGCAGCATCAGCAGCAGCATCATCATCAGCTCCTGGTGCTCCATCCCGCGGACCCGGCGCCGCGCCGCTCGCGCAAGAGGCGCGTGCCCTACAGCAAGGCGCAGCTGCGGTCTCTCGAGCGCGAGTTCGCGGCCTGCAGGTTCGTGACGAGGGAGAGGCGGCGACGCGTGGCGGCCCTGGCCGACCTCACGGAGCGCCAGGTGACCATTTGGTTCCAGAACCGGCGCGTCAAGGAGAAGAAGCTTCTCGGCAGGGGCTCTCCTGCTGCGCGCAAGGCGGCGGCGGCGGCGGCTTCGTCGTAGTCGCGATTCGCAGCAGCAGCAGCAGAACCGCGGCTGATTTTTGCCACGCGGACCACCGCGGATTTCTCTGGAGGCGGACGGGGCGGAAGGATGGGCGGACAGGCGGACGGGGAGGTAGACTGTGGTTAGACAGGCAGACGAACGGACAGGGAGGGAGAAAGACGAGGGACAGACAGACAGGCAAACGGACGGACACGCATGCACACCTTTACAGTGCCTACATACGCACCTACAAAAAATATTCCCCGTGTAGCCTTAACAGACGGTTGGGGCAAGTGCTGTTAGCGAGCACCTATTAAGGCCAGAACGGCACACGAGGGGGTGGGTGGCCAGCACCACGCCCGGTCGCCTTTGTCATCCCTAGTAGCGATGTTTTTACGCACAGCACCAGGTACGCATTTGAGGCTGAGTCGACCTAGGGGAGGCCCAGAACCGGTTCATATAATCGTCACTGGTGTCGGCCGTGAGCGGGAATCGAACTCGGGTCGTCAGAGTCGTAGCGCAGCGCGCTAACCGCTACACTACCGCTCCCCATATATACACACGCACATTCTCGTATGCATGCACACGCTCGCACAGGACGCAGCACACAAGACGCGAATATCTCTCGCTCAGCCTCAAAGACTTTAGAAACAAATGCTTTACGCGAGATGAACTACAAAGATAAAGATCTCCCCGTATAGTCTTCAACAGACTGTTGGGGCAAGTGGTGTTAGCGAGCACACTACGGAGGCCGGCAGGGAACACGAGGGGGTGGGTGGTCAGCACCACTCCCGACCGCCTTTGTCTCCCCAGTGCTGACGCTTACACACCGCACTAGGTCCTCACTTAAGGCTTCGTCGACCTAAGGGAGGCCCAAGACCGGTTCGGATGTTCGCCATTGATATTTGCCGTGAGCGGAGATCGAACTTGGGTTGCCAAGATTCGTAGTGCAGTGCACAGACCACTGCACCACCGCTCTCCACGCGCACTCATAAACAAATGACACGACTTAAACGAACTCTTTGGTTCTTTCGGTAAACATAACGTAGAAAGAAAATTAATTAAATAATAGAGTACGACGTTTCGATTGCAACACAAGCAACCGTCATCAGGTAGAACTACATTTGAGATAGAGACTAAACAAAGACACGGAGACACACAGACAGACACACAAGCAGAGAAAGACAACACAGACACAAGCAGAGACACACACACACATACAAAGATCCCCGTATAGCCTTTAACAGACTGTTGGGGCAAGTGCGATGAGCGAGCACCTCTGAAGGCCGGCACGGCACGCGGCCAACACCACCGGCCGCCATTCGCCACCGAGTTATGATGACGCAATCACAGCGATTGTGCCAGACTAGGTGCACTTCGAGGCGGAAGGTGCTCTTATTTCACAAGCACTCATACACATTTGCCGACGACACTCCCTGTGACTGAGTCGCATTGAGACCGGGACTGTGGGAGCCGCCACGCCACCGTGCTATGTGCTCCGTGGTGCTGTGATCCCAGTGCGCTGTGCTTTGCTGCATAGCATCATTTGTGCTATGACTCACAGCGCTATGATTCATAACGCTGTGATTCATAGCGCTATGATCCATGGTGCTATGATTCATAACGCTGTGATTCATAGCGCTATGATCCATGGCGCTAGGATTCATAACGCTGTGATTCATAACGCTGTGATTCATAACGCTATGATTCATAATGCTATGATTCATAACGCTGTGATTCATAACGCTATGATCCATGGCGCGATGATTCATAATGCTATGATTCATAACCCTATGATTCATGGCGCTATGATGCATAACGCTATGATCCATGACGCTATGATCCATGACGCTGTGATTCATAGCGCTATGATCCATGACGCTATGATCCATGACGCTATGATTCATAACGCTATGATCCATGGCGCTATGATCCATGACGCTGTGATTCATAACGCTATGATCCATGGCGTTATGATCCATGACGCTATGATTCATAACGCTATGATCCATGACGCTATGCTTCATAACGCTATGATCCATGACGCTATGCTTCATAACGTTATGATCCATAGCGCTATGATTCATAACGCTATGATCCATGACGCTATGCTTCATAACGCTATGATTCATAACGCTATGATCCATAGCGCTATGATCCATAGCACCATGACCCATTATACCATGGTCGATGGTGCTATGGTCCCATGGCGCCGCGCTACGATGCACGGTGCAGTGTGATCTGCTCCAGACGCTGACGTCTCTCACAGGAGACCTGGCAAAGGCCCCCAGCGGCACTGGGCTCGGCACGGCAACGAAGGGGACGCGTGCGATATGCAATGACCGGTTTTTACACGGGCAATGCATTTGTGTCCTTTTTTTAAAATAAATGAATCTCCACGTTTACCCAAAAGCACGACTATACAGTCGCCTGGAACGCCTCCGTCGGTTATGCGGCATTTTCATCACGAAGCGGCAGGGCATAACGTTTCAACCGGGGTTGTCGAAATCGGCGTGCCCGGATCAATATTTCCGCACCCGGCCACACTAACATCCAGTATACCTCGAGCTCTGGCTACTAGTCACGTGCCACCCTACTCCAGCCTACGTAACAACTCCGGGGACATACTCAGTGAGAATGCGAAGCCTCGCTTAGCGGAGATGTCACTGCAACAGAAACATTCGCGGTTGAGTAGACGTTTCGGAGTCGTGCCCCTTCGGGGCTGCTTGGCAGGAATCTCCTTTATCTGGAATCTCTTTTATCTGGAATCTCCTTTATCTGGAATCTCCTTTATCAGGAATCTCCTTTATCTGGAATCTCCTTTATCTGGAATCTCCTTCGTCTGGAATCTCCTTTATATGGAATCTCCTTTATCTGGAATCTCCTTTATCAGGAATCCCCTTTATCAGGAATCTCCTTTATCTGGAATCTCCTTTATCTGGAATCTCCTTTATCCGGAATCTCCTTTATCAGGAATCTCCTTTATCAGGAATCTCCTTTATCTGGAATCTCCTTTATCTGGAATCTCCTTTATCTGGAATCTCCTTTATCTGGAATCTCCTTTATCTGGAATCTCCTTTATCTGGAATCTCCTTTAACTGGAATCTCCTTTATCTGGAATCTCCTTTATCAGGAATCTCCTTTATCAGGAATCTCCTTTATCTGGAATCTCCTTTATCTGGAATCTCCTTTATCTGGAATCTCCTTTATCAGGAATCTCCTTTATCTGGAATCTCCTTTATCTGGAATCTCCTTTATCTGGAATCTCCTTTATCAGGAATCTCCTTTATCTGGAATCTCCTTTATCAGGAATCTCATATGCGCTACATTTGCAGGGAATAAACCCCGCCCCCCAAACCCCCCCCCCCCCCCGGTATTGCCCCCCTATATAGGTAATCACCGCGACAGTGAGGTTTGTCAGTCTAGCTACAACTTTCCCTCGCTTTATGCGGGGTTCGCTTTGTGCGATTGCGCAATTATACATGTGGCAGAGACCTATTTGTACGCACACCTCACTGGAATGCGGTTCGAATTCACTCTACATGCGGCTATGCAGTCGGACGTAGAACAACGTTCGTCTCGTGTGTACAGCGCGCGCTACTCTGGGAGGCAGCTGCCTCCTTTGTGCGGTTTCGCTTTGTGCGCACATTTTTATTGGAGCGCATCCACCGCATAAAGCGAGGGGAACCCGCGTGGGCACACATGCCGGTGTACATTCAACTCGCTCGCAGGAGATGTGTTGCTCCCGCAATATGGGTTCGATATCTTGAGGCACGCAAGGATTTGCGTTTGCTCAGCGATGGGACGAATTTAGGTGACGATTCCGTTAAAGGGTCGATTCGCTATTTTTTGGCGAGCGATTTCCCTCCCCCCCCCCCCCGTCATCGTCTGCGCAGTTTTTGCTCGCTTGATTGATCCCCCATTGAATAACGTTCCTGCCATTTGTATAATCCGTAAATATTATGGTTCTCACTCTTTTAAGATGAGTTGCTATATATCGTGAGCTCGTGAAACATTGATTTCGATCGCTTCATCTGTGATGTACTGTACATGCGGTGGCTAGGAGATGGTTAACTACCTCGCCTGGTATACAGGAAGGTCGTGGCTTCGATCCCGACTCTCTCCGGGTCCTCCGGTTTTTGCCTCCACATTTCGAATGAACGTGCGAGTTTCGAGTATTTGTCCGCTCTACATTTCTGTGTGATGAGCCACTTCGTTGAGCTATCGTGTGTGACCGGGGCGTTTCTAAAACAGACAAAAAAAAGCGCTATGCAGCTCAGTGGGCCCTACCTGGTAAAACACTTTTGTTTAATAATTTCGTTCACGTGCCTGGAGAACCACGGTAGCAGCAATGCGGGATGGAGTACACGACTTGACGCATCCATCGGAATCGGTTCGAATAATGCGAAATCTTTACAAACTCCGATGTAGCTTGGGGTGTAGGTAAGGGGTGCTTTGGGGCAGGGTCCGGCAGGCGGGGGCTGGGGGAAGGGGTGGCACCATCCCCCCCACCCCCCTCTAGGGTAACAGCTCTCTCAGGGTGAAGCTCCTTGCGAGCCAATCACAACTCGTGGCAGCTAAAGTTAATAAATATTACAACATTTGCAGTGAGATCAGTATCGCCGTGCGACAAGGAGACGGAGTACGGAGGAGGAGGAGTGCGGGATTCGTGAAATGTGAATCGGTATTCGGTGGCTGCATGTGACGCCAAAGTTTGTGTTGATGTTACACTGTCGTAGTACACTGTGGTACGTGTGCAGTGACACTAAGAGTGTGACGCTATAGCACGCGTTGCGCGACACCAGAGCGCAGGGTTTCTCAAACTCCAGCCCTCAGCGATCCGCCGCCACGCTACGTCTGCTCGCTTTTTTTTCAATATATATAAAAACGATTACCTCCCCATTCCAATGCTAATCAAGTTGTTCGACGCTGCACGCGCCCGATGATTGTGAAACAAGGTCCCACGTGACGCTATTCACGCGTAGACGCGCGCGCACTTACATCTCAATCGCAATTTG